CAGTGTGTATCCATCAAGCCACGGCTTACGTTCCACGCATGAAAAGAAAGAGGTCACGTTTCTCAAGAAACGTGGTTGCACTTCTTCCCGTAAGGATCAGCGCTAGCTAGCACAGAAAAAACACTTGTTAAGTTGGTTAAAAACAAATTGTTAAGACAGTTCTGAACCTAACTTAAGAACTGTCGGCTTAAGAAGTTTTGACCCGACCTAAGAAAATGTTATTAGGTTAATTAAATAGTATATGACTTAATAAGTATAGGCTTTAAGAAAGCGATGATATCATTTGTACCCGACTTAAGAAGTTTCTTGTTTAAATAAGATATATTTAACTGACTTAACAAGGGAGCGCTCCCCGATCACTAAGACAAAGGGTAATCAACGGCCAGACAATGACCCCTCTCCATCGCCGAAACCAAGGCACCAATTGAGGAGTATATCTCCACGTCGGGACAACAACCCCCGTCGAGGAAGAAACAATTATTCTCTACCCCAACCACCAGATCAATGTGACGACAACGAGCCCTACGTCCTATTATTTAGAGAAATTATGGAGACTTTGCTCCCTGTCGACCTAGAGAAACCCCAAATATGGGGACATACGATGGGACTGGAGATCTAGATGAGCATATCAAGAACATCTATGCCTTGCTCGAATACAGTGTTGTCAAAGGAGCATACAACAGAAGATTGCATCCACCTGAAGGATACCATAGAGATCCTCATCCTAGATGGGCATCTCAAGAAATACAAAAATAAGGAAGGTCCCTGCAAGGATACCTAAGAGTCCAAAAAAGTTGAGGAAGAGAAGCACTCCCCCGACGAAACCCTCATGCCCGTCGCCATGAGCATCGCCCGACCAAAAGACTTTTATTTCCCTGACTTGGATGAAGTTCCCCTGTACTTTGCAACACGCAATACCTGGGAGAAATTTCCATCCATGATGGTTATATCTGGCGACAAACTCAACAAGTGTATTGAGGGCTTAGTGAAGAGAAGATTCGAGCATCTAATAGACGCAAGCTCTGACAAAAATTCCACCCTCGATAAATTTAAAGGAAGTTCCATCCCCATCGCGTTTTACCGGGAAGAGCTACCCGACGAAGCTCATAATTCCAGCATTCCTTTGCTTATACAAGCACAAATGGCCAATTTCGGCGTCAGGAGCATTTTGGTTGATCAAGGCAATTCAGTTGATATCATGTACTCCAAACTATCCACCATGCTACAACTCAATGAGACACATCTAAACCCTTACGTGGGCTCTGACCTCCAGGGATTCAACGGCTCGATCACCAAACCTTGGGGCTACGTCGAGATGATCGTCACACTCAGGGAATCAGAAACGGCCAAATCCGTCAAGACTCAGTTCCTTGTGGTAGATTTCCCATCATTGTATCATTGTATTCTTGGGAGACTTACCCTAGCCGAATTGACATTGGTGCCCTCCACCGTGTACCTGAAGATGAAATATTACACCACGGATGGACTTGTTTCCACCCTCCATAGAGACACACAGTCTGCGAGGAAATGCTTCGAAATGGCCTTTAAGGGTTTAAGCTTCACCAAATCACAGCCCAGAATGGCCAACAGGCCTGCTCTGCCTTGCATTTCTGAGGAACCAAAGTCACTGCCACACGTCGACTCAATCGACTTTAACGAAGTTGCATGCGAATTCCTCCATATTTTCTTGTCCAAACATTAAATGTTTAAGTTTTTTATGCTCACCTGACTCACTCTCTCATATTTATCGTTTTTATTTATACCTTCCTAAATTCATTACACTTCCTCACCTAAGTCATTCCCTCACATATTCTCTTTTTTTTTCTTCACCTCATTTCCATCTTTTTATCAACATGGCAATGTTATCCCTAACCCCAAGAACCTTTCATGGGAATGATGACCTTCTAGAAGTCATCATAGAAAAGCAGCCAAAAATCTTGGGTGCTGAGCAAAATTTCCATATTAGTATCCACTTTCAAGGGTGGAATAGGTATCTGTTTATGCTGCATGGATATGATTATCTACATCTTGTAAAAGAGTTATGGATAAATTCCTTTGTCCATGTTGATGGTCTCGCCATATCATCCAAAGTCTATGGATTCCCAGTATCCATCACTGTTGACACTATTGCTCAAGCCACTGGTTATCCTCCGATAGGTATTACTACCATTGATGAATCTATTAGGTGCTCTCCTGATGTCAAGATGCCCGTTTTGTTTAACTCTAACTCTGCCTATCAACCCACAAATCCAGAAACACTAACTCCTATTTCCAAAAGCTGGTTTCAATTCATTTTGTCAAATCTCCATCCTCGAGGAGTGAGCAAGAACTTTCTGTATCATGATGATAGGCTCATGATTATGTGTCTTCTCAATTGTACTCAGTTGGACCTACCCCAAATCATATTCAACTTCCTCAAGGAATCCATCATCATCTCCCGGGATATGAACAAATCCTTCATTCCTTATAGAAGGGTCCTGTCAGAACTTCTCCATAATACTCACATTGTGCACATTGTTCGAAGAATTCGTGTTGGTCCTGATGTTGTCTTTGATACTGTTAACTGTGAAACCTTTGATAACCATTGGTTTAAATGATGTGTCTTTCTTGGTATCTATTTTTTGTTTTGTTTTTGGACTACTGTCCATGTTGCTGCTCATGATCTATATGATCAATTTTTGTTGTTGTTCCTTTCCCAATTGACTGTATTCTCCTTATCATCATTAATGAAAGTTTTTTGCACTATTATAATATCTCTATTTTCTTTGATTATGTTTAATAATAATTATAATGCTTCCAAAGCTCAAACATGTATTATGTTAGAACACTCTAAATAGGCTCAAAAAGGTACAAAGTGTACAATACAGAAACACGTATTGTAAAGGAATCTAAACATGTTAACGATAAGCTTGACTCTACAAAATTCAAAGCTGCAGATGCAGAAATAAGACTTGAAGGTTCTGAAGAAATACCAAATATAAGCAACAAGGATAATGAACCATCAAAACCATCTGAAAACTCAATTATTCAGAAATGACATAAACTGAGACAAGATCGCTTTGAAGAACTCATTCTAGGAAACAAGACATAACTTGTCAGAACAAGATCCACCTTCAATAAACCTAAGGAAACCATTCTAGGATAAGTTTCACTAATTGAACCAATATCAATTACAAAAGCACTTCAAGATAATGAGTGGATCCTGACAATGTAAGAAGAACTTAATCAATTCTCCATAAATGATGTATGGGATATGTACCCAAACCCAAAGGAGTTCACTTTATAGGCACTAAGTGGGTTTTCAGAAACAAGCTAAATAAGAAAGGTAAAGTTGTCAGAAACAAGGCACGACTAGTTGCTTAAGGGTACAATCAACAAGAAGTTAATGTAGACATAATTTGAAATGAGCTTAATGCAAGAACTAAAGTACTTTCTGGGGATTCAAATTATCCAAGAAGTAGAAGCTATATATATTAATAAAGGAAAATACACCAAGGAAATTCTAAAGAAGTTTGATATGCTAGAAAGTAAACCTACTAAGACCCCTATGCATCTTACATGCATTATAGAAAAAGATGAAAAAGGTAAAAAGGTTTGTTAGAAGCTATATCTTGGTATGATTAGCTCTCTTCTCTATCTTACAGCCTCACGACCATATATGTTATATAATGTTTGCTTATTTGCCCACTTTCAGTCAGATCCTAAGGAGACGCACCTAACTGCAGTTAAGAGAATCCTCAAATATTTGGAGGGTACATCTAACATTGGCTTGATGTATGTAAAAACATTAGAGAAAAACATGTATGGATTCTGTGATGCAGATTATGCAGGTGACAAGATAGAATGTAAGAGTACTTCTGGAAACTATATGTTTATAGGAAGAAACCTCATTTCCTAGTCAAGCAAGAGACAATCAACCATTGCACTCTCAACTGCAGAAGCTGAATATATCTCAGCATCACTCTGTAGCACTCATATGCTCTGGATTAAAATCAGCTTGAGGACCACCAGATTCATAAAGAGAATAAACAATAAAAACATTATCTAAGAAATAAAGAATACAATCATATCTTCTTTAAACTTGGTCATGCTTTCTAACACTTCTCTATCATTTACTAAATACTTTTATCTCTTATGTCTTAACCGCCTATCCTAAATGTTTTTGTTTTATTCCAAGAGAAACATGCATAATCAATTATCTTGAAAATTATCCTTCAATAAATTCCTTGACATTAAATCATTTCGTCTCTGAATCTTCTGTCTTCTTGTGTGTTTTCATTCCCTATATTAACTCCTCTAGAGCGTTATTTTTTCATGCATTCTCTCCTTTCCAAAAAGATCTATATCTCTTTCTCTATCTCTCTCTATATCTCTTTATCCTCTCTCTCTCTCTCTCTCTCTCTCTCTCTCTCTCTCTCTCTCTCTATCTCTCTCTATCTCTCTCTCTCTCTCTCTCTCTCTCTCTCTCTCTCTCTCTCTCTCTCTCTCTCTCTCTCTCTCTCTCTCTCTCTCTCTCTCTCTCTCTCTCTCTCTCTCTCTCTCTCTCTCTCTCTCTCTCTCTCTCTCTCTCTCACACACACACACACACACACACACACACACACACATACACACACACACACACAGACACACACATACACACACACACACACAGTTTTTACCTTCACCTTATGGTAACTCAAACCTTTAATGGATATGAAGATCTTCTTGAAGTTCTTTATGATAAACGACCAAACAATCTATCTGAAAATGCTATTATTATTTTGGGCCTTGAAAGTCAAGTTTGGTCTCGGTATACCGCTATTCTTAGAGGTCCCATTTATCCCTTCTTGGTCAAATACTTCTGGCTTCATGCATCTATCAGTTCAAATGGAAACTACATTCATTCACATATTTGTGGCATACCAATCATCATCACCTCTTACTCTATTGATCAAACCATTAATTGTTAACCCATTCCTAACTCCTGCATGGATGTAGACATTTTCCATCTGTTCCAGTTACTTCTGTTCGTTACAAACTTGATAGTTCTCTACCTTCAAATTGTCTAAAACTTCATGATAACAAATCTCCATCCTAGTGGAGAAGGTCTTGATACAGTCTTTCCAAGGGATATGTGTCTCCTGTTTCGTCTTTGCATGAAAATTCTCGTCCATCTTTCTGCAATCATTTTCAATCATTTTAAGCTATTCGTTCCTAAATCCATAAACTCTCAAAAATCCTTCATTCCTTTTGGGTGTGCACTTTCCAAACTATTTGAATTAGCCGTTATAATTGAGTATGTTCGTAGGAATTCGTTAACAAGAAATAAAGTATTAATTGTTGAGAGTTGTGATGTGTTTTAAGTTTAAGTTAGTTTGATTTCTTATTTTGTTTTTATTTCCTGTTTACTTACTATAAAACGTAATCTCCTTCAAATTAAATAAAAATGTGTGTCTTTCCGTCTCACAATATACTTTTGCATATTATCGTTTCAGTTATACTTAGAATAATGATCAGTCATTTTTTATTAAGACAAAAAGGGGGAGAAGTGTACTTATAATTTATCATAAGGGTTCTTATCCTTTATCATAAGATTATTATTCCCATGGGGAGCTATCCAGCTCAGGGGGAGCTCAGGGAAAGTTAACTCTAAATTTGTTTATACTTTTATGCTAGTAAAATTATTTCATCAAAATACATGATTTTTTTCATCATCAAAAAGGGGGGATTCTTAGAGCAAGAAAGCTTCTAAGAAATTATTTATTTTGATGATAACAACCATATATTTTGTGAGTAACAATTTTAGTTCTACTAATGGTTTTATTTAGTGTGCAAATCTAATAACAAGAAACATTCTATAAAAGAGCTTATGCAAATATAACTCAGAAAGCTCAAGATACAAGAATAAGAAAGCTTCTACAAATGAAGTTGTCTCTCAAGATAAGTTGTTGCCTATACATCTGTAGACATGATTGTCCATCAGAAAGATTCTAAGAGCTTGCACAAATATAACTCAGAAAGCTGATGATACAAGAATCAGAAAGCTTCTACAACTGAAGTTGTCTTTCAGATAAGCTGATGCCTAAAGCTCTGAAAACAAGACATGTTCCTAAAATTGAATCTAGTGTTTCTATGATACATCAAAACAATAGTTTCCGAACTACTCATCAGAAGAACAAGACAAGAAATAAATCTCAAGCTCAGTACTCTAGAAACAGAAATAACATCTTTCGGAGAAATCAAGTTCTACATAAACAAGTTAAACAAAGACACTACGTCGAAAAAGACTTATGAAAGCGCTTTTTTTAGCCTTTAAAAGCGCTTAAAAGCGCTTTCGTAGGTGGCGCTGCTATAGGTTTTAGCAACGCTTTTTGTTTAATTAAAAGCGCTTTCGTAGGTCTACCTAATACAACACTTTTTCTAAAAAGCGCTCTCTTAAGTAGGCTTTTGGCAGCGCTTTTTATGAAGAAGCGCTTTCATAGGTCTACCTAAGGCAGCGCTTTTTTCTGGAAAAGCGCTCTCATAAGTTTTCTTTTAGCAGCGCTTTTTTCTGGAAAAGCGCTGTCTTAGGTAGGCTTTTAGCAACGCTTTTTTCTGGAAAAACGCTTTCATAGGTGGTCTTTTAGTAACGCTTTTGCCTGGAAAAGCGCTGTCATATGTTTACCTTAGACAACACTTTTTGTGAACATTTCTTGCCATAGCAATAGTTTGCGCTAGGAAAGGTTCCCATGCTAAGGTACTATCCATGATCACATCTCGCCCTTTATTTAAAACTGTCACTAGTAAAGATGATGCAACATCAGTCGAAGTCTGATGCACCTGTTTAGATTTTGATGACAAGCTAATTAGGAAATACTCTGAAAATAGTAACATGAAAGTTTCGGACAATAGAAGCATACCAGTTCAGCACTTTGAAGCATTTCATTATGGTGGCCCTTAGAGTTAAGAGCTCTATAAATGACATCACTCTCCTTAAAAGCATCTGCTTCAACAACCACAACATTGGATGCAGCTTCTGACCAAAATGATCTGCCAAAACCATTTAATTAGGGGAAAAACAAGGAAAAAAGGTGAAGGGTGACAAAATTTAACACATGCATGTCATAACTCATAAGATCGTTTTTTTTCCTTCTTATTTTGGATACACATGGTTCATAACATTTGCAAAAATTGGAATTGAACAATGATCTAATTAATATATGGAAGAAGTAGAGTTAAGGTGATACTTACTCTCTAAGAATGTCTTTAAGAACAGTGCTTTTTCCAAATCCCATGCCTCCACCCATAAGCAGCAACACTGGACTCCTCTCACTCTGGACAATGGAGACCTTGTCATCACAACTTTGTGAGTCGCCCTTTATTGCTTTAATCTCTTCAACCAATGTAGAGAATACTCTGGCCACCTTTAGTTTCTTTGTTATTCTCTCAAACCTATGTTCCCTATAAACATAGCATAAGACATTTAAATTAGTCCATATTTTTGAAAGGTTATTTTAAAGCAAAATTGTGAGTGGATTATTAATTGGTATGCACGTGTAACAGAAATTTACACTATTAGTCTAATAATCAATAGATCAAACTTTGTTTGGCATGGATTATAATTACTTAAAAAATCCCGGATATGGCTTACAATAATTGATTTTCCGTGTAAAAATATTCACACACTAACATTACATTAAAATTCGGTCTTAGGCTCTGTTTGTTATTAAAAAAAAACATTGCACCAAAATTAAACTCAAAATTAGATATAAATTTACCTTGTGGCTTCCAAAAGAATATTTTTGAGATTTATTTTGGGTTGGGACTGAGAACTTAATACCTATGATTAAGACGATTAAAACATCAATATATTAACATACAATTATCTATGTCAAATAAACAAAAGCATGTATCAACTTAATAGTTAATATATTTCCCAAACTATAAAATTCTTTCTTAATTAAGAAGTTACACTTACATCTAATTAAATATCACCATCTCATAAATATCTGTAGAGATATTTTAGAAATCGTCATAACAAAGTGTTATAATAGTGAGGTGAATTTTTTTTACCAAAAGTATAGTGAGATATGACTGAAAACATGTGTAATTGGTTTTTTTTATTAAAGAATTATGTATCTGGGTAATGATAAATGAAGCTCGGTTCCAATGAAAAGCAAAATAACTGAGGATGCATCTTTCAAATTCTTCAATCAATTTTGCATATAGTGCATTAGCATTGTCCCCATTGGCTAGATATTGATATATATTTTCTTTACACCCTTCTGTGTTTCTCAAGTAGTCCTGTGCCAATCTGCACAACTCTGGAACCTCGTCAGCATCTACAAATCCCATTTGCCTAGCTGCATAGACAAATGTACAAGTAGCCATAATCAATTTGATAATAACACAAATTCATCATCAAATTCACGCCCAAACTAAACTGGAGAAGTAAAAGTAAAGTGGTAAAGAAGTTACCAACATAGTGAGAGAAAATCTCAAGCTTGGCAATACGGCCTGACTCCGTTTGATGTAAGTAAGGAACAATCTTCTGTTGGTCAACCATCACTGAATTATCACTGATTAATCCGACGATGGAGGCTGCCATGACATGTGCGAGGTTGCTCATCACATTAACACTACTAGCAGTACCATCTGAGAATCAAATCACAAAAATTAACAAAATATAAACTGACGACAACGTGTTTGTGTAAATGCGTAAACCAAAATAAGTACCTTGCAGTTGTAGCTGCATGTTGTTCGAAGATTCAGAAGTAATCATAGATCGATTTTTTTGAGGGTTGATATGAATAGAGACGGGAATTGGATGGATGAATAAATAGATTATCTTGAAATGTAAAGAATCATAAAAAATGAGTCTCTGCTAACATTGTCATTTAATGGTCTCGCCAAACACGTTCATCATCATTTCTTAGAAGAAATGGCCACTTGCTTTTTTGAATTGATTATAATAAAAAGCATCCCACGTCTCCTGATGATGACGTTTTTTATGGTGAAGGATTGGATAAACGTTCACTTTAGTCAAATTATATTAAGTTGTATATACTTAACGTGTGGATTGGATGACATGAAATTGTTAACCAAACAAAAAGCACACGAAAACCAGACAAACACATACGAGATGAGGAAAAAAATGAAACCTGATACGAATTGCAGTTGGCCGGAGAAGTGGAGCACCGTTGACCACCGTAGAAGCTCTGGTTTAGGGTTTTTTCGTGAAGAAAATCTGACTGAGAATAGAAAAGTGATACAAATTGTGTTTTGATATTTATTATAAAACTACCTATGAAAGTGCTTTTAAAAGCGCTTTCTAAAGGTCATCTATAACAGCGCTTTTACATCAAAAAGCGCTTTTGTAGCATATCCTATAGCAGTGCTTTTAAAAGCGCTTTCTAAAGGCCAACTTTAGCAGCGCTTTGGAAAAGCGCTTTCTAAGGCTGACCTTTAGCAGCGCTTTTGAAAAGCGCTTTCTTAAGGTACCCTCTGAAAGGCCAGCTTTAGCAGGGCTTCCCAAAAAGCGCTTTCTAAGGGTGACCTTTAGAAGCGCTTTTGAAAAGCGCTTTCTTAAGGCACCCTTTGAAAGCGCTTTTTTAAGCGAATTTTTTTAAAACCTACAACAACGCTTTTTTCCAAAAACGCTTTCTTTTATGTGCTGCTAAAACTTATTTTTGGTGTAGTGAGACCAGAAAAGTCCAGATACATCTTTAGTAGTGATCTAATCAAAATTGACAAATGATCACAGTTTTCGAGGAGAACAATGATGGCAATTCTCAGCTATATCTTGGATATATAAAAAGAAGAAATCACGCCTCCTACACAGTAATCATTATAAAAAGTATATTTGTATTAAAAACATATCAAACTGCAAAATACACGTTACAATGCATTATGTGCTCCAACAGTACTATTCTCTCAAGCCTATATAAAGCAACTTTGGTATACGTGTGGCTGAACAACACCAAGAATTTCTCAAGCACAAAGTAGTATCACTTGAAATGCAATGTTTACACTAAGTTTTTGTTCTATAGTGTAATATTTCATTAAGCATATTAAAGTTTTAACAGCTTACTAAGAAGCAACATGTTCATCACAACTTAGTTCCAAAAAGGTTTTCAATCTTACAAGAAAAACATCACAACAACAGAAAGAATGAAGGATTAATGAGCAATAAGAAACATGAGTAAATACTCGTGTCTTGATCATTGAAGAAAATAAGCTGAAGATCTCAACAAGATGTCATTCAAATTATTAATCAAAACGCATCTCAAGAGAAACCAGAAAAGAAGAAAGAAGCTATTTGTTTAGCTTGATTAACAAAGAAGATGAAGATAAGAAGACTACAACATGTTTTGCACTTAATCTCCATAACATACAATCTTGTAGAAACATGCAAAACACAAGAGTTATTGCTCTGATTGTGTTATCTCTTAGAAACCTTCTTGTAAATTGTTTTAGACAACAGTGTTGTTGCTCAAAAGTTTGTCAAACAATGTGTACTCTAAGTAGGAGAAATCTTCTTAATAAGAAGCACTCATGTAAATCTCTAAAAAAATAATTATTTCTAGAATTGGTGTTTCCTCAAGTGACTTTCTAGTCTGTATACTTGAGAGGGCTAAGAGGTCTTTCTAGACTCTTAGAGGTTGTTGTAATCTTTCAAGATTAGTTGATTAAGTCCTTTTCTAAGGCAAAATCACCCGAGGAGGGTGGACAAGATGTAGCCTTAGATGAGAAGGTGAAATTGTATAAAAATAAATGTGTTCTTTACTGCTATTATTTTCTACTTGCTCAAAGGCTTCCGCAAACTCTTTAGAAGGGGAAAAAGTTTTTATCAACACAATTTAAACCCCCATTTCTTGTGTTTTTCTCCACCTTAAAATTTCTGGTTTTTCTTCTTCCTCTTGACTCAATAACTAGAGCTTCATATTGATTAAGAGAAACTATCAAACCATGCTATTTTCTTATAAATTCTTCATTATGCATGCTATCTTTAACTGTTTATATTATCAATTTCTCATTCTGAGCTGAATTAGTAAGCGTCACAACAAGAACTTCCCAATTATCAACCAAGGAACTAAGCACTAATAATACTTGCAACTCATCGTCCAACTTAATATTAGTAGCTTCCAATTGGTTCACAATATTCTGAAACACACTCAAATGCTCTGCCATTGACTCACCTTCCTTGTATTTCATATTAACCAACTTCCTGATCAAAGATGCTTTATTTTGCATGTTCTCACGCTCATACAACTATCTTAATTTATTCCATATTTTCTGCGCATTAGTTTCAGCTTAACATGTGTATATACACTCAAGTCCAACCATTATTTGATTAAAGAAACTGTCTTCTGATTCATCTTCTTCCATTCAACATCAGACTTATCACTTAGTTTACCTTTTCCCCCCATAATAGGATCATACAAATATAACATATCTTTCATGAGAGTCTTCCAGAGTGTATAATGTGAGTGCACTGGTCCATTAGATGTTTTGTATGATGTCAAAACTAGAATAACCTTAGCATTTATATATATTGGACGGTATCTCTGAGTTTTTATGAGCACCTTTGCATTAGGGTACTTAGGATGCTTTTAAAACATGTTTGGAAAATGAATCATGCATTAAAAATGAGTTTTTGCACTAAAAATAAGTCTATGTGTCGACACATATGATGTATGAGTCGACACACGTACTGCAACATTAAAGCATTTAGGCTCTGTTTCTATGTGTTGATTCATGTGTTGACACATACTGTTTATGTATCGACTCATGTGTCGACACATACTGTCTATGTGTCGACAAATGTAATACAGTTTTAAAGCATGTAGCGTCTGTTTCTATGTATCAACACATGACCTTGAACAGGTCGACACATGACTTATAAGTGTTGACACATACTGTAGTTTTCTGAAAAACTGCATTTCTTTTCAATTTCTAATCCTCCCATTTTGCCTCCAAATTCCACATATGTAAATACTTCATACATGCATCATTTTCAACAAGAAGAAACTAAAACATACAAAAATTTCTCATCATCTTCAACCTCTCATCTATGCTTACACACAAACAAAGTGCATATAATCATTCATTATTTGCGTGCAATCTAGTCTTGTGTTGATAACGTTCAATTTAGGTTGGTATAATCTAAGATTGTATTGAGAATTTTTTGGGGTCTCAAATAAGAAAACCAAGTTGGGGTTTTCCTTCAAGATCATTGGGATTTGAGAGTTTTGGACAAGATTATGCAATTTGGATTCGATCGAGGAAAGAGCTTTGAAGAACAATGGTTCTTGTAAAGGAGTATCGTGAGACGTTGGATCAAATTGGTAAATCTTGGGATATGATACGTTAGAAATTTGGGTTCGATCGAGTTAAAGCTTTGAATAACTGTGGTTCTTGCAAAGGAGTAACGTGAGACGGTGGATCAAATTGGAAGTATCGAGTGACAACAATTCACAATTTGGATTCGGTCGAGTGAAAGCTTTGAAGAACGATGGTTCGATCAAAGGAGTAGCGCGAGATAGTGGATCAAATTGGTTTGTTGGGTGACTTGATCAAGATGAGATCAAGGGGAGAGAAAGTGTTAGGATCAACATCAAACTTGGGATTTGTAGGGTTCGATTGCTACATTTCTCTTGTAAATAATATTTTGCAAAGTAAGATTTATCATCTCAATTCCATTTGGAATTGAGGGCAAATGTAGCCATAGCGAGGATAATTAGTGAACTGGCTAAACAAATTCTTGTGTTCTCTCTCTCTCTCTCTCTCTCTCTCTCTCTCTATATATATATATATATATATATATATATATATATATATATATATATATATATATATATATATATATATATATATATATATATATCATTTACTTTGCATAGCAAATTATTGAATTCAAATATTGTGTAATTGATTCGTATAGACACATCCTTTTGATTATTAAACATTTCTTTGTTGTTACATTACAATCAATTAGATTATAAGTTGTATTTCATATCAACAAAGTCAAAGGGAAAATTTGAAAAATTGATTGCACACTAAGTGTTTGATAATTTTCTTGGTTTTGCTTTATCAATAATTTCATTGGAAATTGATTAACAATTGTGATCATTATAAAACGATTGATTGAGAAGTTATTGTATTGAGTCTTATCATCATATTAGATTTCATTTTGTAGTTTACGCATATCCGAGTTTTCAATAGTCGGTTCAGTTTAGACGACTTATTCGATCTTGGCTTAATCTCCCGCTTGCCATAGTTTTTGATTTATCGTCAAAAAAAATTGTAAGAAGTAATTTTTTATTTTGGGGATATATTCACCCCCCTCTAGATAAGTTGTTGTTGTCTAACATATATTTAGTAGAGTTAAGCTTAATCATATTGAGCTCTTGATTTTCTCCATTTAAAATGCACAAACAAACCAACCAGATTTCTCGACACCGCTTTGTTGAGAAATAATCAACCGATAGAAATACTTTTCAAGCAGAATAATTTCCCAAAGATGTGCAATTTAAATAGACAACCATCATAACCAATTCCAGAGCATAATAATAATAGCAGAAAAATAAAGTAGCAAGAACACCAAATTTTTAACGCGAAAAACATCCCTCAAAGTGAGAAAATAAAATACCACTAGACCTTATCTAGTAAAACCTTCCACTATATCAATAATGGATATAAAAAATTCTTTCAAGTAATACTAGAGAATAACAATCTTCACCAATATATAATAAATGAGATAAACACACTACAAACAACTCCTCCATAAATTGTAGGTATACCAAAGCAATTCTAAGAGAAGGTAAAACTAATCAACAAGAATAACAATAAACTTAGCTAAGTGATAGAAACAACATACTGCATTTGTAGCTCAAACTCATAAGATTTACTACACACCCTTCTATCACTTGTGTTTTTTCCCCTTCTCTAAAACCCTTGTAAGTTGTTTATTTATTGTGTTGCTTTAGAGATTAAAAAATCCCTTTGAATAGATGTCAAATGGGATTGGCGCAAACAAAATAAATCTAATATATATATATATATATATATATATATATATATATATATATATATATATATATATATATATATATATATATATATATATATATATATATATATATATATATATATATATATATATATAAATAAACTATGGGTTCCACATTAAGAGTGAGTTCATCCTACAAAAGCAAATAAGATGTAGTATTTATATATGAGTGTTGAGTATGAATCATATATTTGTAGACAGTGAATATAGGTAAGGGCAAGAAGCCCCCACCCTTACGTTTGACCCAAACGTGTCTTAGGCTCAACTATTTATTGTGGAAAGATGACTTAGGATGTGGGGGCGGTAACTGTGTGGTATAGTTTTGGGGTATTGTTGTAGACTGAGTCGTAGTATTGTATATAATATTTTTAATATTGTAACTATAATTCATCTAAGAAATAAAAAAATGAATTATTATTGTTACATAGTTCGAGAGATGGATACTATTGCTAAATTGCGTTAATGAAAATTAATTGTGTTCATTTTCTCTTACTTTCGTTTTCCTTTAATCTTACATACTGACTTTTGTTTTAAGATTTATTTGATTGGAAATAAGATCTCCAACCTTCTCTTCAAATCCACTAAGATAAACTCCACCTTAGATATCTTTAAACGAGAAAGTCCCATAAAAAAAAGTTCAGAGTGCAACATAAACTACCACATAAAACTTAAAATTTTAGGCATAATTAATCACCAAATTCATTAATTTAATTTAATGTTTCGCTTTAGTCACTTATCTAAAAAAAACTACATGTTAGTCCTTTAAAAACACTTATGTTGGTTGAGTTAATCCTTTTCATTAAATTTTGTCAAAAAAAAACATTAAGTTGTGGTGATGTGGCATGACAACAAGGCCATTGATACACTTCTGAGTCAACATATGGATTAAAAAACCAATACACTATTTAAATTGCAGGAGTTTTGTTTTCGAAAGTTAAAAACTTCTCTAAATCGTAATAATGTGTAAATAATATAACTTTCCATAATTAGTTAATTCTATGATCAAAGAAAGTTAAATAAGATTGGAGTCACCAAAAAAGTTATTAGATATTCCTTCCATTTTAAAATAACAGTCGTTTTCACAAATAAATTTTATTTTAAAATATTTGTCATTTTCACTTTTGAATGTAATAATGATTATTATTTTTTCAATTGTGTCATTTACTTTTTACTCTCTACACTACTTTCAATATATTAATATAATTAATTTTAGAAAAATGTAATGTCTTACGAGGACATCATTACATTCTTTAATTTATCTACAAAAACCTTAAATAACAATCATTTTAAAACGGATGAAATAAAAAGCCTCCATTAAATATCCGTTGATGTTTAAGAAAATTCTTGGCCCAAACCTCATAGAAGCTTGTAAGATATTTACACTTAAGCACAACTAGGAGAGCTGACTAACCTTATATTAAGCTATATCTAAGAGTCAAATATTGTCGTGGTAAGAGTTAGTTGTTACATAAGTATGTTACAAGACATTTCTGAACCATAGGAACACAACAAAGTTTCTTACGAATCGAAGTGCTACATCCCTATTAGGACATTCCTCTTACCAACCAAGTTTGAGCATTTGATCAACCACCTTAGGGATCTGACTCATCTCATCTCATCAACAATGAGATCAAGATTCAATTAATTAAAACGAATACGTACACAAATTACAAAACAATGGAAGTGATGACAACCTTAAACGTCACACACAACACATTAACATGACCAAAATACCATTTCCACCGCATACAAACTTTGAATATTAATAATTAATGACGTAACTATCTTTTCCCTTTTTCATTTATTTATACATTCTCTTCTTCATTATCTCCATAACCAACCCATTCTTTCTCTCTCAAAACTCACATCTTCATCATGCACCAAGTAATTCCTTACATGTCACCGCAGAACAACAACATGAAGAAGAATTATTATAACAAGAAGGAGAAGGAGAATAATCCTTGTATGCTTAAAATGGTTTCTGAGAACGCTGTGATAGTGATTGGAAGACACGGTTGCTGCATGACCCATGTGGTGAAACGTCTTCTACAGAGTCTAGGTGTTAACCCCGTGATTCATGAGGTGGAGGAAGAGAAAGATGAAGTGTGTGTTGCAAAAGAATTGGAATCGATAATTGAAGGGAAAGATAATGTGCAGTTTCCGATGGTGTTTATAGGTGGTAGGTTGTTTGGTGGATTGGATCGTGTTATGGCTACTCATATTTCTGGTGAATTGGTTCCATTACTTAAACAAGCTGGAGCTTTGTGGCTATGATTCATTGTTTCTTGTTTTTGATTTATTAATACTCTATTTAGTTGAAGAAACAAATCTTGATTTAAAAAGAATTTAAAGTAGTTGCTTTAGTCTTTAATTTGGCTAGCTAATTTCATGATGTAATATTGTTTTAGTTAATTAAATATGCCACCGCCAAAATTCATGGTTGCTCATATTCTAGAGGGTTTGGATTTTAAGAATTTCTTAATTGAACATCCTATTCTTATGAGTATTTAGGAGTCTTTGGAGTAATTTCTATAATATCTCTTAAATTCTTAAATTCAAATATGTATATTTGAATGAATTTGTTTCCACACAAAATACTTAATTTTGAAGATATATATTCAAAAATATTCTATTTTTAAATTTTAAAAAAAATGTATTTTCTGATATACATTTTAGAATACTTTATTTTTTTATCAAAAATACGTGTTTTTAGATATGAATAAGGGTGGTAAAATGGATCGTTGTCTGTCGGATCGGTCCGTGCACCCGTCAAAATATAGTGGGTTGAGTTGGAATTTTGAGATTGTCATCCACCAAATCTCGTCTCATTAAATACTGTCACCTGTCAAAGCCCGCCCGCCAAAACCGACCACACATATTCGTTTAGCTTGACACACCTTAAATCCATCCTTTTTAAATTAATTCTAGTAATTCTAATTTTTGATGATTTTATTTTACACATTTAATTGTGAATATATACAATATTTTTAAAAGTAAAATTTGTTTAAATGATACTTTATAAAAAATTGCTCTATAAAATAAGTGAAAAATCTAATTGAAATGTTAAAAAAAGCTTATTAATCTATTAAAAAATGAAAAATAAATCTCCGCCAAACCGCCACCTTGGCGGGACAAGTTATATTTTTATAGCCATTTTTACTTGACGGACTTGTCAATCCCACTCTTTTTGACAGGTTTAAAAGAGTGTGGAGCGAGACGGAGCAGGCAGCCCGTTTTGACACCCCTACATATGAATATCTAAAAAATTCTCTATTATATTTTTTTAATATATTATTCTTTTTATAAATTAAAATTTTAATATTATTTTCTCTATTTAATTTAATTAAATCTTTAAGAGTCAAAAAAAACATTTTCAAATAATACAAAATAAAATAATCATATTTATAATAATAATATAATAAATATCTTTTAAAATTTTTAAAAATAATATCTTCAAATCAATACAGAAGTTAAATAAAAAAAACATATAATTATATTGTTTAAAGAATTTTTAATATTAGTTAAATTTCTATTCACTTTTATTTATTAAATGACCTATTTATTTTTAATTATTTATAATTTGTTATAAAATAGTTTTTTATATTTTAAATCTAAAAGTTATTTTGATTTTATTTTGATTTTATTTTTAATTTATTGTTTTTGTTTTAAAAAAATATAAACAGAGAATTTTTCGGAGATGCACTCCGAAATTATCTTCTTTTTTTTTTTTGCAAAAAAATAAGATTTTTTCGGATATACATTTCTGAAAATACCTTTTTTATATGGTGCATTCTGATATGTATATCCAAAGCGCATTTTGGAATTTTCAGAGATTTATTTGAATCTCATTAGGGTGTATTAAGAAATTCTCTTGAATTTTAAATTGGCCATTTTGCAAAACGTTTACGGTATGTCTTGATATATTAAGTGTGAGTATGAGTCTCACATTGGATAAAAAAACAGATGTTAAACACTTTATAAATGAAAAGATCTATAAATCTAATTCCTTAAGATTTTTAATATGTGGTGTCTCTATCCCTTGTGTTGTTGCTCTTAAAGCCTGATGTGATGATTTTTAAACTCTCTCATGACCCAATAGTGGTATTAGAGTCTGGTTTGCTAGGGCTCTTGTATCAAAAGTCTTCTTGATAATGGTGTTCAGACGACGTGTTCCATTGAGGCTATCCAACGGCGATGCAAGTAGATATGGATGATAAACTTCCATTTGAGGAGGAGAATATCCCATAAAATGGATGAACTCACACTTGAAGGGGGGGGGGGGATTGTTGGTATATCAAGTGTGAGTATGAGTCTCACATTGGATGTAAAAGCGGATATTAAACACTTTATAAATGAGAAGACCTATAAATCCAATGCCTTAAAGTTTTGGATTAATATGTGGTGTGTCTCTCTCACTTGTGTGGTCGCTTCTAAAGCCCGATGAGATGATCCTGGACCTCCTTATGACCCAACATTTTTGTAGTCACAACTAAATATCTTGTTGATGTTGTAATCGTTATGTTATTACTATATGAGTTATATTCAACAACCTCCACCTTATGAAGACTTCATGCATGACAATCACACACTACTACCAAATAGACATTTCGTAACAGAATATTACAACGACCTTCATGTTAACCGTGATAATAACCCGTTTATGGGTTTTTTTTATTTACTAAAATACATTTCATTACAGTCATAGTTAACAACCTAGTGAAATGTACCTGGAGTGAAAACATTCAAATCCTAGCTCCAACAATTTTCCATTTATCATGACATAATGGGCTTGACCTTGTATATCACCACTAGGGCTGACAATAAACCGAACCAACTCAAAAATAATTTGGAACTCGATTCGACAATTAAATCGTTGAACTAGATTCATGAACCAAATGAGCCGAAAATAAGCTAAAAACTAAGTTTGTTAACTAAATGAGTTAAACTTGAACTATACATAGTTCGACTCGCTAGCTTCACGAGTCAACTCAGTTATATATAAAATGGATTATATTCTCTTTAAGAGTAAATTTAAATATTTGCTCCAAATCGAAGCCCTATATTTCTTTTTATTCTAACGGTTTTAATTGATAATGTATATCTTCGAGAGAGCAAAATATTTCTAAAAATAATTATACAAATAAAATCTACATCGTATAAATTTCAATCTTATAACTCTATTTTATTTCTATATTTTTATTTTAAAATTTCATATATATATATATATATATATATATATATATATATATATATATATATATATATATATATATATATATATATATATATATATATATATATATATATATATATATATATATATATATATATATATATATATATATATATATATATATATATATATATATATATATATATATATATATATAATAGACTTTAAAAAAATGACTTTTGAATCCGTGAAGTAAGTGAGTTGACTCTAACGAATTGAATCGAGTTGTTTGTGAACTTCTAACAAATTGATTTTGAGCTAGAAAAAAAGTTTGTGACAAACTCAAACCAATATTTAAGTTGAACCAATTCTTAACGAGTCAAGTCGAGCTTATATGAAAATTCACAGGGATAAAAGTGCTAGAAAATTATATACAAGTTTATATAAATGTTGAAAAGGTTATAGTCAAGTTTGAATTGGTTCAGCTCGACTCGACTCGTTAAGAATTGGTTCAGCCTAAATGAAATTTTGGTATATCAGACTTTAGATGTCATATGACATGTTGGGACATCTTATTTGATCTAAACAACATAGGCAAGGTATAAACAATATAAACAGTACTAAAAAGCATAAACAACACACAAGAATTGTTAACCCAGTTTGGAGTAACTCTCCTACTCAGAGGGCATACCAAGTCAGGGACAAGTCCACTATAATAATAATATCAATTCGAAGCTAAACTCCCCCGTTTAAAACTTCTCCTTTAATCACTAACCATGTTATACTTTTATCTAAGACTCACCTAGATATGAGGTCATCCTAAATCTCTCATCAATCACAGACAGCAATTTGACAAAACAAGAAGACACACTTCCATGACGAAAACAGAAGACACGCTTCCATGGTAAGAATACACACTTCCATGGCAATACCTAGCCAATAATATTGACTAAGAACAACAACTTGGAGTTGCTTAAAAGCTTACTCCAAGAATAATACTCCACTCATTACCTAAAGACTTATGAGTGAGAACAGAACCTTGTAACTCAAGGAACACAATCCAACTCACATGTCAAGTGGATCACACAAACCAACTCTCCTAGATAGTGGTACAAAATCTGCCCTAATGATTACATCTTTTCTATTCACAGCTGGTACCTTTTTCTAGGTTACAATGCTTCTATTTATAACCTATCTCCCAATTGGGTTTGGACTTCAAATTACTGAAGGTAGAGAAAACACAAGAAAAGGGGGTTAAATTGTGTTTACAGAAAAAATTCACCTTTAGAAAATCTAATCACTCAAATGATAAAAGCTATACGGACAATAAAGAGTAAAGGACACAATTGATTTATCTAGGTTCACCATTAACTAGTCTACTCATATCCATCCCCTCAAGGATAATTTAGCCTTATCCAAGGACTTAATCTACTAAAACCAAATTGATTACAAGTGCACGAGCAACCGCAAGTGACTAACACATAATGACACATTTAGTGATCTGATTTAACAAATATAACGGTTTCCTACAATGACCACAACCACTGTCTTCTTGAGATCACACCTTTAGAAGGTTACTCAGGATTTCCTACAATGACCGCAACCATTGTCTTCTTGAGATCAAACCTTCACTTGGCCACTCAAGGAATCAATCAACAACAGTTGATAAGTTCTTGTGTGTTACATCATTGCTTCTTATAAGAAGATTACACTAGTGATTTAAGCACATATTGTTTAACATAATTTCGAGTTAAAACTCTAGTGTTAAAGCAATTTACATGAAGAGATCAGAACCAAAACACAATACGAGCAACAACTCTTGTGTACATTACATTGTTCTACAAAGATGTATATGATCAGAAGTTGAGTAGCATCTTGTAGTGTTCTTCTTCTTCATCTTCTTGTTGAGCAAGTTCCGAGTAACAACTCCTTGCTTCTTCTGATTTCTACCAAGATGTATATGATGATAGTTGATTAGCATCTTGTAGAATCTTCTTCTTCATTGAGCAAGCTACGAGCAATAACTCCTTGCTTCTTCATGTTTCATCCAAGATATATATGATGAATAGTTGAATAACATCTTGTTGAAATCTTATTCTTC